ATACAATGCATGGTAATATAGGAAAGCTTCAGAGAGCCATGTGTGGGCTGCAGTGACGGTGCTAAGCCTTGAATAAAATTGCATTTTATCATCTCTGAGAAGCAATCATAAGTGAGGAACAAAGACTTAAAAGTAGATTTAGACCAGAATACCTTTACCTCTGTAATTTAAGCAGTTTACTTTGCTTTCTCATTCTTAAAAATGGGTATCTTCAGATTTGAAGAATCAGTCTGTCCTGCTTAGTGTTAGTGGAGGTATATGATCGTTATCTAGTTCCTGGATTAGGTTGCAGACATTTCAGTTAGAGAAAAGATTGGTGAACTCCTAAAGTAGTGTTTTTTAACTGAGACTTCGTATCAGAGTCACATGTGGAGCATTTAGAAAATTATTCAAATAATGTAGGTTCCTCATCCAGGGAGCTGATTCAGGAAATCTGGGATAATCAGTATTTTTTAAAATCCCTTGGCTAACTCTGGTGTGTAGCATCATATCCTCAGATAAGACCACTATGGTAAAAGCCTGTTTTGCCTAGGAACTGACCCTGGAAATATTTCTGAAAGTCAACCTGTGGGTTATATGATCATTCTTTGTTCAGATATATGCCTTTCACTTAGACTCTGGTGTATCCATCTTCTAGGACTGCCAAAACAAAGTACCATAAACTTGGTGTCTTAAAAACAACAGAAATTATCTTGTAATTTTGGAGGCCAGAATTCTGAAATCAAGGTGTCAACAGCGCTGTACATCCTCTGGAGGATCTAAGGGAGGATCTGTTCCTTGTCTCTTCTAACCTCTGGTGGTTGCCAGCATTCCCTGGCTTGTGTCTGTGTCACTCCAGTCTCTGTGTTCCTCTTCATGTCGCTTTCTCTTCTTTCTTAATTCTCCTTCTGCCTTCTTCTATAAAGGCACTTGTGCTTGCTTTTAAAGCCACCCACATGCTCTCCCCATCCCAAGTTTTTTAACTTAATCACATCTTTAAAGCTTTTGCCATATAAGGTAACATTCACAGGTTCCAGAGACTAGGACCTGGACATCTTTTGGGGGTCCATTATTCAGCTTTCCACAGCAGCAGGTTATTACCTCACTGAATGTGTTCATGTGGGCTGCTGGGGCCCATTAAGGTCAATGTGATAACATTCTCCACTTATCTTCAACTACCACTTTGTGGCCACAGGAAGGGCAGCCTTCTGTGACAGTGGTTACCCACAAACGCTGCCCCCTCTTGGCACTAGGCCAGATAGCCCGCACGTAGGTAGAGATAAGTTATTTTTCTGAGCCATGTCTTGCACCTCCAATTGTAGCCATTCTCATGGCAAGTACTTTTGGTCCTATGTGGACTGAGTGTAGTAGCATCAGGGCATTCAGCCTGTCATCCTCACCAACAAATGCACTTCAAGCATGTGTCCTAGCAACAGGGGCTCTTGTTTAAAGCTCATAGTTTAAGAATACAATATGACCTGCATTATTTGAACGTATTCTAAAAGTGGCATAAACCTTGTTTCCTTTTCACATAGGCCCTGACTTAGGCCAGGCCTATATGATGCTGTGAGATTTGGTCGTGGGAGGAGAGAATGTAGTTCGTTAACCTAAAGAGAAGTGTTGCTTCTGAGTCAATATTTGTGAAGAAAGCTATGGGATCTTAGGAGAAGTTAATTAGCGTGGGTCTTCATTTTCCCCATCTGTGTAAGGAAGCCTTTGTTTCATGGTCTCTAAGTCCCCATTTGGCTCTGAAATTATATTCTGTTAACTCATCCTACCATCAGAAAGGAGAAAATAATAGGTGCCAGTGCAGATATATTTTAGAAGAACAGCAAGAAGAGGCTCATGAATGAAGGCCCTGCTGAGGTTTTTGTTGATTAATATTCAGTGACATTAATTTGTGCTATTGTTTAAGTTTCCCTAGTAGTGTTGAATTAATCATATATGAATTAGGGAGGCTGTGAAGCTAAGAAGATTATGCCAGTGGCTAGGTCAGCACTACCCCCTTGTTGATAGCTCCCCCAGTCCTCTTGACTTCAGAGATAGGCTGAGTCATAGCACCTCATTTCCTAGCCACACTGATTAGTCCAGAGGGAGCACAGGTAAGCTAAACCACACCTGGGACTTTCATATTGGAGCTGGGAGAAAGAACTGTTTGCTTTTGTCTTGTTGAGAAACACAAGGTGCGAATAGGTGTTGCTTGTTGAAGACAAGTGTGCAAAGACAAGTGCGTATAGCCGCTGTTTCTTGTGCAGTAGAGGAACAAGGATGGAAATGTTTGGGGTGGAAAGCAAAGGAGAGTTGAGAGGAGAAAAGGGGGAGTATTACGTTTCTGCATCCCTGAGGCCAGCTCCATTTTATGATGTAGCTATATTAACTATTAGGTCACCCTCACCCTTAAGCGTAGTTAGAGTTTAGTTATTTGACATTTGAAAGTAAAAGGAATCTTAACTAATACATGGCATATGAGTGTGGAGAAGTCAAAGTAGGATCGATAAAGAGTGATACGTATCTATTTTCAGGTGCAACAGAAAGACAGTGGAACAAAGCGGGTAAACATTTTAGCAAGACTAGTGATAGACCATGGAGTCTAGGCTGCACAGGAAAGGAAGTGATGACTGTTGGGCTGAAGATCAAGAGGAGTCAAGGGAATTCAGTTCTTAACTAAGCTAAGTATATTAAAAAATAGGAAGTTGTAATGAGGGTATATAGGTGTTGGATGCATTTGCAAATACATCCTATTTAAGAAAAATAATGAATCATCATAAAGTGCTACAAAGAATCAGGAAAATTCCTTTGTAATTTTGCAATTGAAAAAGATAGGCATGCCATTCACCCTTTAGGTTTGGCATGCTATAAGAAGAAGCCTATTTTATATTATATACCCAGGGAGAGAACTTGGCTTACAGTATGGCAAGTCTGTGCTGTTTGACAAGACACCTTATAATAATTATTGTCATGAGATATCTGACTGATTGAGCAGCAAGAATTTTTAAAGTTAGAACCCATTTCTCTTTAAGTAAAATATTCTTAAGGTCAGAAATATTTGAAAAATTTTGTTCTAGGGTGGAATTGAGTACAGTAGAAAAAATTTTGATGTTTAGGCATGTTCGATGTCACTTTTATGAAAAGATTTTTTAGAAATCTTTGCCACATTGTGAATTACTCTGGGTAATATTGAGTACAATCGTAGTATATAAAGAACCTTTAGTGATCTGTCTCTTTTCATTTGTAGTTTCTCATCCCACTATTACATGTGGGTTCAAAATGGCTCATACAAGTAATAGAATCCATTTAAAAGGCATTTATCCAGCAAGAATCTCCTGAGACTTCAGTTAGAGTTCTACTCTCTTTGTACATCTGTAAGTGCTCAGCTTCATGAGGCATTAGCTATATCCTAGGTTGTAGATTCTCAGTACATTTGAGTTTTTCAAAAAGCATTTCCAATTCATAGCATGATCTTTGTGATTTTATCGACTTTAATATTGAGCATTTCTGTGTTTGAGGACACATGCTTTACTTTGTCCTGCTAAAGATGAAATGTGTCCTGGTTTTTATTAGCTATTGTAATTTTACAATAGTTAAATTAATATAGTCAAACTGGAGAACTGTCAAGACACTGGCTAACGATTCATGTACTAAATCTTAAATAATGTAAAATCTGTAACTTAAATACATGTGTACTGACTTAGTCGACAAGTGAATTCACTGTTGGTGTAGAGCCTTTGTTTACACACATGTAAACACTTAGAGTAGACATGTTAAAAAGGCAGAGGACAGAAATATGAGACAGTTCTCCCTGAGTCTGCTGTGCTGCTTGGGCACCTTTCTGAACCTGGCTTTCCTCATTTGAAAGATGAATAGTTGGATGGTGTATCTGATACCCCATTTCCTATCTCAAAGGAAATTAAGTTTTGCTAAGCCTTCAAACTCTGACTGAGTCCTTCTTTGAGGAAAAGTGTTTCGGCATCATCATGATGTTACTTTGCATATGGTTGTTCTTTTGTTCAGTATAATTTTGTTGTTTGCAGTTTTATTTCTTAAAAATTGATCTGTGTTTTCTTTATAACATTTATTCAGAGTTTAAAAGCAAAGCCAGGCGTGATGGTGCATGCCTGCAGTCCAAGCTACTCAGCAGGCTAAGGCAGGAGGATCACTTAAGCCTCAGGGTTCAAGGCTATAGACACTGTGGTTGCACTTGTGTATAACCACTGCATTCCAGCCTAGGCAATATAGTAAGACTCCATCTCTTTAAAAAAAATTTAAAAGTAGAGATGTGCAGTAACGTTTTCCTGGATGGTTGTTACAGTGGAATAAGTTGATTACAAGGACCTTATATGTAATGCTAGAACTGGGAGAATCAGGGAGGAAGTCTTATGCTGACTTAACTCTATCGTTGTTACCAAAGTTCTAAAGAAACTCTCAGTTCCCTCCACCACCACCGCATATACACACCAATGTAATTTTCATTTAACTGTAAAGCAGAATTACAGTGTTATTGTTACAGTAAAAACTGCTTAAGTGATTGGTATAGAAACTCTAAAACATTCTAACATGTTTTTCCATATCTGGCTTCAGTCCCCTTACCATATATCTTAACTAAGTTGTTATGAAAACAGTTATATTCATTCAATTAATGAAAAAGGAATGAGTATTCCAGCATCCAAATGAAAGAAACTATAAGACCATATTTTGAATAGGAGAAATAGAGTATATAGTCTAATTTTAATCATATCCTAATGTCTTATTGTGGTGAATTGTAGTACAATACTGTGTATCTTATTTATAAAAGACATTTTTTACTTTGTGAAAGTCTCTTTGTTTCCTAAAACACTGCTTACCCTGTGCTCATTTGCTTCACCTGTATCCTCACCTTTCCAGAGCCAACATGGTGACTGACAAGGGGCTTTGGGCCCATCCTGTTATGGTCAGGTTATGAAGGACTTGCTTGGCCACTTGCTGAATTCATAATGTGGAACAGAATGAAAAGAATAATTTGATCTTATTTTCTCTCTTTACAGGCTCTGTACAACTCAATCAAGAATGAGAAGCTTGAATGGGCAGTGTAAGTATGCTGGGTGTCAGCCTTTTAATAATGAACTACTCACTTTTTTCCTACTGTCTTTGTGCCTTGGAGGTGATCTTAGAGAAGGATTAAATATGCATTGACAGTTCTCATTTTACACCAGTGTCTTACCTACTTTGTCTAAAACCCAGAGTATCCTGTGTGTTTTTTTTCTTGGTACCCAGTATGCTTCTTTTCTACCTTTAATCTGATCTCTCTGCCTATAGCAATTAATGTATCTAAAAAAAAAATTCTAAAAATCTGGTGATAAATTACAAATATTCCAAAATCTAATACTAATGGATTGGGTACAATCCACTTATTTTAATTGTCTCCTTGATATCATTATAGATCATGGTTTTCTAGTTCTATTTCCTATGACACTAATCTTAGTAGGACATTGATAGATATTAAGCACAAAAAGAAAAAAATGGTTCTGTGGATAGATAGCCTTGAGAAATGATAAATGAAAGAAAGCTGTTTTTTTATGAACTGTAGGAGTTCTAGGAGCTTATACAATACCATTGTATGTTGTCAGTCTTTAAGAGAAAAGTAGAGTTTACTGAATCTCTTTGACAGTACAATGTAGTGTTTTAAGGTACATATTTTAGAAAATACTACTACAGAAAAATTATACCTAATTCTGTGTAGACCAACAATACCATTTATGTTCAATTTTCACTAATCAATACAGCAGTCAAAAATAATTTTTAAAAAATTGTTAGGGAAGAATCTTTACTACATATTTAATCAAGTTATCAAGGAATTACTTCAAAATGTATTTTTTGTAATTACAACTTCATATGAATTTTATTTTTGGTTCTTATCAAGCAATATTAGTACAGAAAGCATACATAAAAATTTCTTTTTACCACATGGCCTAACATAGCACTCTGCAATGAACTCAGGTTTACAGGATCATAACTTGGAAGGTAAATTTTGTTCTTCAATACACACATTGAGGGAACATGGTTTAGCAGTTGACTACATCTTACATGTAATATACTGGAATTCATTTTTTAAATCTCAGTATCACTTGAATTATTTCTACTAACTGAAGGGTCATATGGTACTTTTATAAGTTAGGGAGTCAAAGGTTAAAACTTTAATATTTCCATGTATATGTAATGGCTTATATGTCTGTATGTACATACATGATGAGACTCATTTAAAGACAGCATACCATCTCAAGGAAAACTTCTTAACATTATTAAGAATACATCATCTAAAATCCATGGGGTAATTTAGCTCTCATGAATGAAAGTGGGTTTCCTAGAAAAGTTTTGTGAATGATATGTGTAGAATCTTGCTGAAATGTCAAAGGGATATCCTGACTTAAGCAGAATATGCGTTCTGAGGAAATTAATTAAAATGAAATAGTTATAGTCACACTGGGGGAGAGAATATTTTGAAGATCTTTTATGATGTTATTTTACGAAGCAAATAAATGCCCTCTTGAGGATCTGTTTTGAATCTAGATTTTTTAAATTATGTTGAATTTGTTACAGCAGACTTTATATATTTCTATGTCGTTGGAATCTCAGGCAAGAAACCTTTATTTTAGATCTTATTTAAGGATGGAGGGGTGGGAGTCTACTCAAGAACTGAATTCTCATGTGGTCTTCTTGTGAAGTCAGCAGAGTGTCTTGTTTAGAAACTCAGATTTTAGAGTCAGGTAGGTTTTAATTTGAATTCCAGCTCACGTACGTACTAGCTACGTCACTGGTGGGTTAGCCTCTAAGCCTCAGTTTCCTCTTGCATAAGATGTAGCAATTCTTGAGTCTCATGTAACCCTCAGGATGGCATTGTGAAATGTTCTAAAACATTAAACATAAAGCAAGTTATTCTTCAATTGATGCCTGGTGCTATGGCTTTAATAGCCCTAAATTCTATGTTTTGTCTTGTTTTTATCTCATTCATATGCTTATACATTTACATATACTACATTCTTCTACTTTCTCAAGAATTAGAATAAGGCACTATAGTAGTTTGTCATTATCATTAGCTTTCTTCACCTATAAAATGCAGGAATTAGATGAAATGATCACCAGTATCTTTTCCCATCCTAATATTCTGTAAATTTCTGAATATTACTATATATCAGTGTTTCTTAAACTGATTTCCTATGGAAGAAGTACTGCTATATCTAGCAGATATAAAACCAAACCAAACCAAAAAAAAGAACTTGGGGTCAAATGAGTCCTGGAATGAATTCTAAGTTAACCAAAGTTAAACAGATTTATCTGCTGCTGGCCTGTTTAGTCATTAACAATCTGTACATTTTTAAATTTCTGTAGGAGAGAGACAAAGGGCCAGTAATCAAACTTTTTAAATCACCGAGCCTTATTCTGATCAAAAAGCACCTTTTAACACCTATTAAAACTAGTGTTCTTTAGAACACACTTCAGAGAACACTGCAGTCTATCAATTAATGTGATCCTTTGGGTTAAGAACTAAGCATTTTCATTGGTAAGCATGTATGTGTGTGGATATAATTATATACAACATTGTGTTCATCCAATTCTCCTTGTACCACTCTAACCACATTTTCCCGGACTCATTTTCCTCCTGTTATTAATGTTAATGCTTTCCTAAGATCAACACTTTGGCTTGTCTTCTTTCAGTACAGTCTCTTTCTCAGAAAGCTCATTCTTTTTTTTTTTTTTTTTTTTTTTTGAGTTGGAGTCTCACTGTGTCGCCCAGACTGGAGTGCAGTGGCTGCTCATTCTTAAAACTTCACCTGCCATCTCTGTAAAAACTCTTCATACACACACACACACACACCCCTCTATCCTCTTTCCCATGTACCTATGCAACATTTACATTTTCCTGCAGAAAGTTTCTACGGGCATTTAGCACTCAGCATCTGTCTCCAAACTTTGTCATATGTTCTCCATTTCAACTAGTAACACCAGTATGTCTGGCTTACCTGGGTTTCGTTAGCCTCTACATCAACCCCTCCAGTGTCACCACTTTACTACTGCAGAAATGGCTCTAAACAGTCATTCCCCTTCCTCTCCATTCCTGCTGATGCCATCGTTTTTTTTCCCCCTAGACATTTGTATGGTTTGCTTCCTAACAAAGTTATCTCCAGTGTCTTTCCTCTACTTTAACCTATATGAAGCTTTCCTCTGCTGTAAAACTTCAGTTAGGCCCTGCACATTCTGCCAGTAATCAGTTTTATTCTTAGTCTTGTCTCCACATAGCCCCCGTTTCAGTGAGGCTGCCACTGGGTATAACTCTCTTTGCCTGTCCCGGGGCTTCCTGCCCTTTTGCAAGTAGTCGTATGGTGGCCTCTCCTTGGAAACTGTGTCCCCCACATCTTTTTGTGTTCAAAGCCCACCACCATTTACAGCCCAACTCATATCACAACAATTCCTTGGTCTTTCCTGATCTTGTCACCCCGAAATAATCTCAGCCCTTAAATCCCATTTTTCATTATCTGGTGACACCCTCCGTTTCTACTTCCCATTAGAGCTGTGTGTAATAATGTACCATTAGATTGTAAGCTCTTTAAGGAAATGTTACATATCTGGATTTGTCCGTCTCTTTCCTCCTTTGCTGAACATCATACTTCTATGTAATGGAGGTTCCATAAAAAGCTGCAAAAAGAATGTAAGTAATAGTTCAAGGAGCTGCATTTCTTAAAAAATAAGCCTACAGTTGTGTAGCATAGACAATAATAACAGAAAAGATGCCGCTGCTGCAAAATTTGTAGGACAATGTATACCATACTTACATGGGAGGTATTTTTATGTTGATTTTAGGGCCTTAGAGGAAATTAAATCAAATGACAGAATGTTGGAATGTTATACACGAAGGGACCTTGGAGGTTTCTAATGCATTGGTTTTCTGACTGGGTTCCATAGAGCCCCAGGTTTCTCAGGGCCTCCCTGGTGGAATGAGTGAGGGGAAAGGAGAGTTGGTGGGGACCAGTTCTGCCTCCCACAAGCATCATGCCTATTTCAGCTGACCAAAGCAGCCCCCCTTCTATCTTTTCATGAATGTACAGGTATATTTAGAGTTCCATTTGAATTTCTTTTTTTAAGACATTGCAAAATTTTTTTGAAAATTGCTAATTAATCCAGTGCTCTCTCGTACATAAGGAAAATGGGGTCAAGAAGCATTCATCAACGGGTCAAAGTCACACAGTGAGTATAGTGGCAAAAGCCAGGATTTGTTTCCTGCATGTTGCCTGACTTCTCTGTAGTCTCACAGTCTTATGCAGTCTTTGGAGAACAAGGATCATGTCTGAATGTTTCTATGCCAACTTTTGAGAGAATTAAGAGAATTTTATATCAATGTGTTAGTCTCATTAAATGTTCATAAAATTACTACTGTTTTTCCCCAAGCAGGTTAGGTAGCAAGGATCATTTATTCATCTAGTCCACGTCCTTTTTTTTTTTTTTTTGAGGCAGGGAATTACTCTGTTACCCAGGCTAAAATGCTGTGGTGTGATCATACCTCAGTGAAACTTCTAACTCATGGTTTCAAGAGATTTTTCCCACCTCAGCCTCCCAAGTAGGTAGCTGAGACTGCAGGTGCACAAAATTTTTGTGGAGATAGGGTCTCTCTGTGTTGCCCAGGCTGGTCTTGAATTCCTGGGCTCAAGCAGTCCTTCTACCTTGACCTCCCAAAGTGCTGGGATTATAGGCATGAGCCATTGTACCTGGCCTATTCCACAGTCTTTAAGCAGCTTCTTTGGTGTCTGGCCCAGTGCTGTGCCCGAAATACAGATATGAATAAGACACAAGTCTGTGCCTAATGAGAGCACAATATGGGAGTAAAGAGAGGAAGAAATTTACAAAGATGAAAATATAAAAATTTTAGTGAAGAGTACAGTGTGTCAAACTGACTTATGGGAGGTCTCAGCTACCTCATAAAGGACAATTATTATTTTTCTTTCCAAGTTCCTTTGCTTGATTGTTTATTATTAATAAGCATCTATTTGTTGAGTTATTTGTACTGTGCAGTCTTCTGGGAATTTGGGAAGAACAAAA